CTATAAACTAATATTTAATATATGTTACAAAAACTGATTTTTACATGTGATTTCTAATCAAGAATCATAAATGAATGGCAGCATGACAATAGAAACTGGTTAAGCAGTACTCAACGAGAAGATAATTTCATATTGTTTCTGATTCAGTTCCGTGGAGTAAAATGGAACTAAATGGCTATGTATTATATGCAAGCCCCAAAAAATATTTACTAAAGATATTTGATATTATAATTGTTACAGTGTATTTTTAAAGTTGATTTCTTTGGATCACATTTAAGGAATGTCTGGCCTGTTCTCACATAAAATGTTCAACTTATGGAATCTGATGCACCTGAATTTGTCGGCGCATCAAGAGCAAAAGGTATATACATGTACCACACACACAGGACTCACTTTTCTTTCTAATCTCACAAACTTTAATCTAGTTCTAGAAGCCACTGATATCTTACATCATGCTTCCATTCACAGTGAAGTGAATATTAAGAATATGTTTTTAAAAATCAATTCAAGTTACAGAGTTAATATAGGCTTTTTAAGATAAGAGCTTTGAGAAATAAGTTTGCAATTTTAATTTACATATAAACTCTAAGATCAGCTCTTCACGGCTGTCTGGTGGGACACAGGCAAAGGCCCCTAGTAACGTGTCTCTGACTTCAACAGAGCCTGCAGTAGGATGTGCGGGATGACCACTGTCCTCCCTGTGCCCTTCATAAAAGGCAAGTTCTTACTTGCCTTACTCAAGTTCTTACATCCCCATTCCCAACATCATTGGGCTCAAGATAGCAATCTGCTGAAGACAATGGTCCCCCAAAGGAAATTATCATTAGAACGAAATAGCCACCTTCTCTAAGACACCCTCAGAACTAGTCTTCTCACTCTCTCTGCTGTTCATCTCAATCTCCATAGACCCTTAACCTTTCACCCTTTCTTTTTTAAATTTATTTTTATATTGAATTTATTGGAGTGACATTTGTTCACAAAACCATAGAGGTTTCAAGTGTACAACTCATAAAAAAACATTGTCTGCACATTGCACTATGTACCCATCACCCCAAGCAAAATTTCTTTCTGTCCACATTTCCTCCCCTTTGCCTACCTCCACCTACCTACCCTCCACCCCCTTTTCCTTCTGCCTATCACCACACTGTTGTCTGTGTCTATGTGTTATATGTGTGTGGGTGTGTATATTTTTTTTTGCTTAATCGTCTCACCTTCTTCATCCTTTCTTGAATCACCTGCCCAAACTCTTCACTGTGCCCCAAAACACCTCAAATCTTTCCTCAGCTAAATTGATATTGGAGCTCTGTTCTCTATGTGATTCCTGTCTTCTTGTTCTAACAATCTTATCTTCATAAGGATACAGCTTTTTCGGCAGCTCTCTCAAGAAGTAACTGTTCCTTTTCTTCAACCCTTCCCATGCTCTATAGCTAAAGATAAAATCAGTTTCTTCCTTGAGCCTTATTGACATTCCCCAACCACTTCTCTCTTCTCCTAAAAAAGGGGGACTTCATGTTCATAGCAAACTGTCTCTTCATAGTCCATGTGCTTTCACACTTGCCCTGATCACAGTTATTTCACTTTTCTCTTTGCTCCTTGAAACTCCAATACTTCCCATCCCATCCTCAAGTGAGAACCTACTTCTAATTTCCCTGAAGCAACAGAAGCAATCCCATCACTTAATTTACCCACTGGCCTGCGTCTGTGCCCATGCCCCTGCCTTCCTCCTGGGACAGTGGATGAGCTTCCCTTGCTCCTGTCTGAGGTGTTCCTCCTCCTCAATCTGAGTATGGGGAACATATTTCACCTATTGCCCTCCTAGCTGTTCTTTGTCTTCCTCCTTTGCTGGGTACTTCTCTTCTTGTCCTCTAAATGTTGGTAACTCCCAGGACTTAGTGTCTGGATATTCTTTTCCTCCACCTACATTTACTTCCTAGATGATCTTATCTAAGCCTATAATTGTAAATAAAATCTACATTTGTGCTGTTTAGGGTGGCTATACAATAGCCACTCACCAACTGTAGCTATTGAGCACCTGAAATGTGGTCATACCAATATCTAAAGTACACACTGGATTTTGGAGACTTAGTATGAAAAAAATGTAAAATATCTCATTAACTTTTATACTGATGAAATGATAATATTTGGATTTATTAGGTTAAGTAAATCTGTTATTAAAATTGATTTTACCTGTTTGTCTTTATTTTTTTAATGTGGCCACTAGAAATTTTTTAATGACAACATTGGTGGCTCATATTATATTTCTATTGACCAATGTTGATCATTAATAACTCCAACCTTTTCTATTAGCCCATGCTTATATAACAGACTGGCTATTGGACATTTTCATTTGTATGTGTACTAGGCATCTCAAATGCAATGTGCCCAAATCTCAACTCAGGGATTCAGCCCATGCAAAACTATATCTCTCTCTCTTCCCTGTCTTGAAGAGTGACGAAGCTTATCTTCCAGTTCATCAAATGTAAAGTTAAGAATCATCTTTTCCTTCACACTCCATACCCATTCTTTCAGCATGTACTGACAACTGGTCACCAAAAAATTTTAAAGAAAGTATTTCAAGGAAGTGAGCTTAGGGAACAGGAAGGAATGATGGGAAGACAAAACCACGAAGAAGGGAGACTAATGTTAAGAATTTGGTGGTGAGGGTGGTTGATCCTCACTACAGGAAACTAGTTGCTTAAATGCTTGACACCTTCTAAGGAGCTTTATAGAATGTAACTGAGACCCTTCTGCCAGGTGGAGAAAGGAGGAAACATTTCCCCATCGGCTCTCATGCCCCCTTCCCTGGGGTGTTCATGGGTCAGGGCTAAGCCCATTCTGTGGGTGTCCAAGTCAGGAGGAGCCAGAGAAGCCCAGAGCTAGTGTTTATTACAGTATTGGAAACACCCTGTTGTAACTGTCCATTTATCTTCCTTCATCCAACCACATACAAATTACTATGTCAAACTGCAACTACTTGAGGGCAAGTAGCTTATCTTTTATTTCTGCATAGCTGACACAATAAATAGATGTTGGTTGAATAAATGCATGAACCCCACAATTTCAGTATGGCGTGACCCCCAAGATCAATCTTCACCTACCTGTCTCTCCTTAAGTGCTAGATCTCCATTTCCAACTGTCTAATCATTATCTCCATATACATGTCTACTTAACAGGTCTAAAACTAAATTCATTATTCTCCCTGACCCTTTCTCCATCTGACCAACATCGGCTCCTCCCTCTGAATTCCTATCTCAATGTAATGACATAAATATCCCAGGCTAGAAACTTCAACGTTCTTCTTTAGGCATTCTTTAATTAGATGAATTGTGGAGAGCCAGGTTAAAAACCATAGACAGATTTCTTTTCTGTAGTATTTGTCAAAGCTTTTCATGTATTAATGTTCAATACGAGTCTTCAAGAAGTGAATGTATTTTTTCAGACTCATCTAACTGAAGAACCCTTCAGTTAAGGTGAACCACTCAGGACTGAAGACTGCACTTGGAGAATCATGACCGTAGCATCCGTCTGCCACACTTCATGCTTCCCTACTGCCCTAATTTAGGCCCCTGTCATCTTGTACATGGAGCACCACTTTCCTGAACAGCCTCCCACTGATCTCCCTACCACATCCTCTCCAGCTTGATTTTTCTAACAGACAGATTTGGTCATGCCTCATTCCATCCCCAACCCCAGCTTTAAAATCACCATTGGGCCCTGGCTGGCGTAGCTCAGTGGAATGAGGATTGAGCGCGGGCTGTGAACCAAAGTGTCGCAGGTTCGATTCCCAGTCAGGGCACATGCCTGGGTTGCAGGCCACAGCCCCCAGCAACCGCACATTGATGTTTCTATCTCTCTCTCTCTCTCCCTCCCTTCCCTCTCTAAAAAAATAAATAAAATTTTTTTAAAAATCACCATTGGGTTTCCATTACAGGTAAGCTCCAGTCTTAGCCCCCTGTTATATTACCTAGACCCTGTTATCTATTACAAATTCTAGCCTCGCCCATCTTCTCAACTTCCTTTTTCTCACAGCTCTCCTTTCCCAAAACATCACATCCTTTTGTCCTTTAGGGTTTTATTTCATTGTCACTGCTCCAAATGGCCTCTCCTGTTTCCATCCTCTAACAAACTTCTCCCTAAAACCCATTTCTGCTGAGATCTCTTCCATTCTAGCACTCGGTTGGTTATGCCTCCGTGTTTCCATAACACTTTGCACTGACCTCTGTTACAGCTGTTGTCTGAGTGTCAGACAAGAGATGACCTATGTGTGCATTCCCACCAATACTCTCTAACTAAGCCTTTTAACCTTTGTTTCTCCAGCTCTCAGCACAGTGCCTGGCACAGAACAGGCACTGAATGAAAAAAAAAAATCAAATGAATGAATAACAAAATAAGCAGTAACAAAGAAAAATGTAGATGAATTTCAAAAAGCTGTAACTAAAAATGTGTTTTAAGAGTGCATTTATTCCAGCCACTAGTCTCAGGAAAACAATGCCATTTTGTTTAAATAGACCTTCAGTTTTTATCTTACCAAGTTCCTGATAGAGAATAAAACTTTACTACAATTTGTCTTAAAGGTGAACTCTGTAACTCCCAAAACTCCTCTTAGGGGTTTGGGGGACCACAGGCACACACAGTTGGCCTACCCTGCCTACCGTACTCAACAACAGAGACCGAAGCCATATGCCTCTGACTGCGCTACTAACAGGGAGCTGCCCGGTCTCTGAGGACTTGTACTAGAAGGAATATCGATCACCCCGCTGGAGGAGTAGATAGCCAGTTTTGTTCATCTAAGTTCCTCTTCCCCGTTAGGGTGCTCTCTTCTCAATTTTGGGTGGCCCCAGAGTTAGCAGCTCTTTCAATCAAGCCTCCTTACCTTTCATTGCTAAAACTTAAAGTTTGGGCTTTTGCCTGAACAAGGAAATTCCATTAGAAAAGCACACCAGAAGCAAACAGTTTTGCCTGTTGGTTTCCTGAATTCCTTCGCTCCCCTCAAAACTTACCTTTTGCAATTAGATCTATAGATCCCATGAATTTCTCTTTTACATTAAACATGCGTGGCTCCTTGAAAGAAGGGGGTTGTGGGGGCGCCTCAGGATGGTCGCCTTTGGAAACATCCTTGGGGAAACCAGTGTGTCTGTGTGCTGTCTGGCATTCCTGGGCCACATCAAGGGTTTCCTTATTTTTTATCTCCAAAGGTAGGAATTGGACAGATTTTGGTTTTTGGTGTTTATTTCTGAAAACATTTATAGAACTACCTTGAACTTTGTTCTGTGAATAAAACAGAGATAAATTTAATTAAATTTAATTCCCATATTAATTATATAACAACAGTATATAATAAATTGTATTAAAACAGTATTAAACTTATATCCACTAAGTACATTTTGCAGGGTACCTTTCTATAGAAGACATTTACTATAAAGCATATGACAGTATTCAAATAAAGCAGATGTTTTCCTATGTGGTTCTCAAAAGGCACTTCACGGCCATGAGGGTTATTATATTCTACTGTGAAAAATGTAAATTTAAAATAGTTATTTTTTTCTCAAATGTGATATTTCCAAATACAGCTTTGAAGTCTACTTTAAAATAGAAGTTTTCAGCTAGACATATCATAATGTAATTACTTTTCAATCATCTTTGAAGAATTCTAAAATGTCCATAATATGCTAACACCCCCAATACTCTTTTTCTGTTGAACCATAAATGACTGTTCACACATGTAGGTAGATTCTCAAGAAAAAAATACTTGGACATGTATTGGACATGTATTGTAATAATTGGACATGTATTTCAGATCATTTCAATCACTTAAATGTTTCTTATTTTTTACTACCTTGAGTAATATAAAAATAATATAGTCCCAGGTTCCTGAGAGGCAGTTATCCAAACAATTATACTTATTCTAGTCTAATCATTCTCTGGCTCATAGATAGAGGTATAACTCCCTCCTCTCCCTCTCCCCCCAAAGAAAGGTTTAGACAAATTCAAACTGTAGCCAATTCAAGATAAGATTAAGGAGGTATCATGTTTTGCAAGCAGCCAAAGATGGAATATTATTCTGTTATTAAACTCTAAACATAGGTCAGGGTTCTAAGGCACCTCTAACTCTGAAGACTGAAGTTTTCATCCCATGTACCTAGTAATTAATCAATATAATTTAAAAGTGTTTTTTGGTCAGAGAAAAAAGTTAAGCCATGTCGACAATGTTGATTACAAGATTAAAATGATCTATGGCCAGTCTCCCAGTGGAGGACTATTCAAAAGCAACATATGTAAAAATTATAACCCCCTCCCTCCATAGTAAGCATTGAAAAATATTTAAACTTTTTATTTAAAATGCATTGTTTTAAAAAGTATTCAAAAGAGAATAGGATAGTGTAGGACAAAGTACATCATTCTAAGATCCCCTCCTTCCTCATCTGTCTCCCCAAAGGCCCATTTGCCACAATAGCTGCTGCTCCCCAAATTGCCCATCTCTTCTGTAGCTGTCCTCCAAAATTTCACTGCGATATTCTACAAAGGCAGCCACTACTCACAAGGAGCATTCAGACTGGCAAACAGTTCTCACTCGATGTGAAGGAAGCTCAGGTAAGCCTGGTATGCTAGGGGCACAGAGGAAACGTCATCTCACAGTGTATTTTCTAGAGATATTTACTTAAGATATTTAATCCAAATATTTCTGTCATAATTCATCAAAAGAATAATATTAAAAATTGTGTGTGCAAATTAAGTATATATTTATAATTAAATAATCTGTATAGCTGAAAAATCTTAATTTTAAATACAATCTGAAATCAATTCTTGTAGCTAGGAAGGATTTCACTTTTTTCTCTATTCTATTCAAAATCTGATAAGGTTCACACAATCATTTGGAACAATCACTGTAGTACACAAAAATAGTTATTAGTTTCCTGAAAACTATAACGTTAGATAAATGCAGAGCACTAACATCATTTATTTTCTCATAATGTTGGGCAATGAGATTTTTTGCTTCCTGAAAAAAATCTTGCTTGGTAATCTCTAATACAGGACCTAAAAGAGAAAGAGAGAAACTTTTTTTAAGGTTGTTAATATACTTTCTTAATCAAAATATGGTGAAACTATGATATTAAAATTTGGGGACAGTTATGAATCTTGGAGGACATTATTAAAAAGTGAATCTTGTAAGTGGAACTTATATGTGGACACAAAGCAAGTTAATGTAATGCTCCTTTAATGTGATATTTTGCTTTAAAAAACATCAGCTTATCAGAGTTAGATTATCCTACATTACTAAAATTCAGGGAAGTCAAAAAAAAGCACACAAAATTGAAATCTCAAATAGTTCTAAACATTTTTTAAATGTTACTAAACACAAGACACAATGACATGTTTTGGCCACAAAAAAATTATGAACAAGTCTGTTCCTGTTTCTATATTTCATGAATCATTCATATGGCTGTACATTTATTCAAAACTTTTTATCCTAAAACTTGTTGATTAAATTATAACTTCAAAATAAAACTTGTAAATAGGTTTATTAAATAGCAATAGCATTGATATAAAAATATACATATCTACAAATGAGTAATATTATAATAACTTATCTCATTTATATTTTTCTGATTTTTAATTTACTTTTTTCTCTAGAGCTATATATGGAATATTACAGCACCTATATAGAATACATAGTCTCATTTAGCCTTGTCTAAGACTTCCTACTCATATATTTCCTTTGTTATTAGCTAATTGTGACATTTAAAAGTGTTTCTTGGCTTTCTCCTCTTAACCTGAACTCAGTAAAATTAAAACACAGGGGCCAGCATAAATAACACTGTTTTGTTATGAGCTGGTAATCTATACCAAATTTTTATTATGAAATCATAAGCATGTAATTCTATAACATAACAGTATCACACTCAAGCACACCATATGAAATTGTAGGTAAAAATGTTCAAATTGCTGTCTCTCTCATGGGAGACATTCACATACCCTCCCAACCACACCCAGTGGCATTATTTCTGCCAGACCCTGTGTATTACCCATTTAAATCAGCTTTTCGGTCAGGCCAGTATGCTCCCCATTTCTATAACTCTAACTCCTTTAGTACTCCTAGGATCAAGATTTTTTTCTACCTTCTTTTCATCCACTCCCATTTTAAGCAATTAAAAACTCCATCTTGAAGCAAATCAAAACCATAATGAGATATTAAGCCCACCTGGTCTGCTATTACAAGATGCCACAGACTTACAAACAACAGAACTTTGTTTCTCACAGTTCTCAATGTCTGGAAGTCTGAGATCAGGGGGCCAGCGCGGTCAGGAGAGGACCCTCTTCTAGGTTGCAGACTTCTAGCTGTACCTTTACATGGTGGAAGGACCTAGAAAGCTTTATGGGGCCTCATTCATAGGAGCACTAATCCCATCATGAGGGCTCCACTGTCATGACCTAATCACCCCTCAAAGACCCCACCTCATATCATCATTATCTTTGGGGGATTAGGATTTCAACACACATATTTGTGGAGGAGGGACACCAACATTCAGATCACAGTAGATACCACTACGTACCCACCAGAATAGCTAAAATTAAAGACTGGTAACAGTCAATATTGGAGAGGCTGTGGAGCTACTGGAATCGTCATGCAGCACTGGTGGAAATGCAAAATAAGGCAAGCAGTTTGGAAAAGAGAGGGTCACTCCTTCACAAACTTCCCCCTTGCTTTTCACCATGTAGACTCAGGGGTCCAGGCAGCTGTTACTTGGGGTCAATGACAGTCTGAGGGACAAGGCCTGGGGGAGACCATAGCAAGAAAGGAGAGGAGCAATTGGACTCTTAGCCCAACTTAAAAGTCCTCGGTTTGGGGAGGAAGCACCTACTAAAGGTGTTCCATCACTGGGCATTGGGACTGTCCCTCTGCAGTTATTCTGGAAAGAGCATCATCTCCCCTCGCTCTCTGTCATCTTCCTCCCACTCGTAGCTACGGCAAGTGGCAACATTATTACCAAACTCAACTCTCCCCGTCCTCCCACATTTGCCATGGTATCCCCCCACATTTAGGGCTCTCTACATATTCCTAAGGAAATGGCTTAGTGGATTTTTTCTCCTTTTCAACAAAAATAGTTGTCAAGACTTTGTGCACATGCTTCTGAAGAAGTGTGCATATTCTTTGCAGAGAGTGAAACATTATGTTACACATGAATCATAAAACAATTCATATACATTTCACTGTTCAAAGCCATAAGAGGCACTGTCCTTACCTGGAAGAGACAGTGGTTCAATAATTAAAATTGTCGGTTTCATCAAGTTTCAACCAAAATCTGAACCTACTTTGAGGGAGTTTCTAACCAGACCACTAACTTTCTGGAGAAAAGACAGTGAGATCACAACTTGTCCTTGTTTACCTCCTCTTTTTTGACTAATTCAATTTCTCTTATAATTACTTAGAATTACAATATTGCCATGTATCAGACACAGGATAGTCAATATACTTTATTAGTATATGACATGACTGTCACTGGGTTTTGGTGAAGATGTAACTTTATAAAAACCATCCCACCTTCATTCTAGACAAGACCTTAGAGATGACCTAGTCTTGACAGCAAAGCTTTCAGGCAGAAAGGGCCCAAGAGCCTTCCAAAGTTGCACAGCCATTACCCACAAAGTTGCACAGTCAGTACTCACAAAGATACTGACCTCCTGAACCACTGCCTGCTTTTTTCTACACATCTGCTTCTTTTCGAGATTCTATGCACGCCCTGTGAGTACTGGAGACTCCTCTGACATTTGATTGATTAACCGAGTAAAATATTTGCATTTGACCCACACTTTCCACTATGAACTCAATATATATGTTCCCCCAAGATTCATATGGCGAAACCTAATGCTTAATGTGATGGCATTAAGAGATGGGGCCTTTGGGAGGTGATTATGTCATGAGGGTAGAGCTCTCAAGATTGAGATTAGTGGTCTCATAAAAGAGACCCCAGAGAGCTAGGTAGTTCCTTCTACCAGGGAGAAGACATCCATTAATGAGAAAGCAGATCCTCACTAGGTTTCAAATTGTTGATGTCATGACCTTGGACTTTCAGGTTTCCAGAATTGTGAGAAATAAATTTCTCTTGTTTACAAACCACCCAGATTATATTTTTTATAATGGCCTGAAGGGACTAAGACACTTTCATTTCAAGCCAGCAATCTCGTGCAAACTTGTGATTTAATGTGCTCACAGAGTTGTTCCCATTTTCCCCTCCATAGCTAAACACCAGCCTTTGACAGAGGAGTTCAATTCCCAAGGTAGCCGTTTCTTTCTAGCCGGGCTCTTGTTGATCAGTGTTTCTGGTTTTCCCCACCCCCAAAAGCCACTTGTTTCCTGTGAGCTGTGGAAGAGCTGACATACACTCTGGTGACCCTAGTGGCCTGCTTGGAGCTAGCGAGTAGATCCCAGCTCACCTAGGTACTGCCACAGTGAACCCATACAGTCAGTTCCTGAGGTTCTTAAACAGAACAAGGCCTGGGGTTGCATTAAAGGGGCGAAAACAGGCACCCACCAAAAGAGAACCACTTCACATGGATTCTGAACTGATCCACTGAAAGTGTGTTGACACCCTGACTCCAAGCCAGACAGTCCTGAGCCCTCAATATCATTTAAGGTGCTGAAGCAGCCGGTTCAACAAATAAATTTAAAATCACAGGAAATTAAACCACTTTGACATTAAGAATCCATCCAGTTAATAATCTTTGTTTCTTTGTTTACAACGGGATGAGCGTGCATCTTTCACATGTCCAAGCTCACATCACTACTAAAATCATTAAGGAGTTGTCAAGGTCTGCTCCTACTCAGTTAAAAAAATAATTAAGGCTTTGTTTATATGCAAATACATATCTATAGCATACAGAATGACTTTTAAGAGCTCTTCTTTCTGAGTCACACTATTTTGGTCTTGAATTCCAATGTGCTCATGAACCTTATTTTGTTGTCCTAAACCTTCGTTTTTTCATATGTAGGATGTGGAAGATAATAATAACATATCTCACGCAGAGTCATTGCAAGGATAAAATTGGACTTGATTACAAAGCAGTTAGCAGAGCACCCAGCACATAATAAGCTTTCAATAAATGCAGTTACTGTTACTGTGGTTATTGTTGTGTTACTATGATTGGGCTAACTCTTTATATGATTAATTTCATGAGTCAATCCTCATTTCTTCAATTTCACAAGGATAAATTTCAACTTCCTAAATTAGTTTGAATGAGTCTGGTCTTATTATAGCTCTTTTTATCCAGAACTGATTAATTAATAGGTTTGCAAATAATAAAATCTCTTCATACTTTGGATTAACTTACCAAATCCCTGTGTAGCAATAAAAATTCATTATTAGCAATAACAAATATGTTATAATAAAGTTCATGAAGAGATGGAAGTAGTCATATTAAATTTAGCTAAAACACGTGGGCAAATATTAACATTTCCATGGGGAAAGAAATAATTTCACTAGCCTAAAAGATTTTCTTATATTACTATATATAAAACATATATTTTATATACTTGAAACTCAGCTTAATGCTACTATGATTGATCACTTATAAAACTCCAGTTTTCTTTTAATGCTTTAGGAGTTTCTGTATAATTGTTCTAGCCAAACTCTCAAGTGAAAACATGGAGACACCAAAAGCTCCAATTATAGTAACTAAGATAAGGAATAAACCACCAACCATCTCTTGACTGTAACCACTGAACAAGTCTTTTCTGCACCCAAAAGGATGGAGGGACTAACAAACGTGTTTTTTACAACCATGACAAAATAACTGGACTAATCAGAGGACTTTCATCCTTCCTATACACAGGCTGCATTCTTCAGAGACCTCACAAATATTTACTGAGAAGATATCCCAAACAAAGATGTACGGTCACACAGCTAAGGCCAGCCTTACCTCTGTAAGTCCCAGTAGGTGCCCGATCGCCTGTTTGAGTTGATCAATGTTATAAAAGCCCTATTTCACACTCAGTCACATTGGAATATGGTCAGTAAGCACCTACTAGGACCAAGATA